TATATATATATATTCGATAGCTTTCGATAGCAAACTGTGCTATCATCTTTATGTCTGAATGATTGTTCTTTTATACGGTTTGATCGCCTTAGTGAATTTGTTGATGCTTCAATAATTAGGGTTTGGGTAGGTATTTGTCCTCCTCTTTTATCCAGGTGTTCCTTCGAATTTGCCTGTACTTGGGTTACACCAGGTAATATTCTTTGTGTTGATGCCTCTCCAGGTCATTGCTTCTAGAAATGTGTATAGTTTCGTGGAGTATATTGAATGTTAGGTGTTGTTGTATTTCGATTTGTATTTGTTATTCAATAAATGAATTATGGCTTTCGAATTTATGAATGTTTAGGTTTTTCCAGATGTTGCTAAACATCCTGAAGTTAGTTCCAATACTATGATCACTAACAATTACACAGCGCATGTCGTAGTTTTACGTAGTTTTAACATGAAATTTAAGTTGATTTTCAGTAGTTCGTAGGCTACACTGACTTGGCTCTGCTTGAACTACAGAAAACTTCAATCTGTGATCTAGAATCTGGATGGTGAATAATAAAATAAATATTTCCCATTACCTCCATGTGATGTTAACTTGCTCTTCAAAACCTACGTCAAATTAGGTGTTTTAATTTTGTTGATTTGGAAGTGTTTCCTCAAATTAATTTCATGCCAGAGGTTCCAATTTTACATACCAATTCGCATGGATTGGTGATATTCAAAAAATATTTCGTTATGATTTGCACAATTACACTTATTATTAGAAGCTATTTCTGAATAAACCCAACAAATTATTCAGAGCCAGACTTGAACATTCACTAATCACGAACTGAACTCTGAACCTCGACGAATTGTGTCAATTAATTTCAATCGTAATGCATTTTTTTCCAAACAAAGCACTCGTTTACGCCTATCAACCAATCAAAGATAGCTTCGATGTGGTGGATAATCTGCTGGCAGTGCTTTGACTTTCAGATGAAGTCATTAAATTCATAAGGCCAATCTTCTGCAATTTGAAAATACTTCTTGAATATTCATCCAACCACCTACAACGAACCGGATGCAACGGTACCGTCATGGTGGCAGCGACTATACTCAATGCGAAGATAAATATTGAGATACCATTGATTATGATAAATTATACAGGTCGCTCTAATTTATACCATAAATCTGATGTTTATCTATTATCAATCCATTATTAATTGTCGTTTGGGATGCATAATAACTATGCACACGTCATTGTTAATGACATCAATTTGTTTTAATCACGGACGAAAAAAATTGAATTAGAGCAAGTTACCAGGTCTCCGTAAAAGGTCCATTCATTATTGTCACTATAATTCTTTTGTCCCTCAAGGCGCATTTCGAAAATCTGCATAAATCAGATAAAGCGGACTAGCAGGGTCGTGTTTTTTCACATATTGGAACAGATCGAGTACGACATCCAAGTTTTGAAGAAATAATATGAATTTTTCATCCTAAAATCTCAGACTTTCTGTCAAAAAAGTATCGGGAATCGGTCATTTCAAGAGCCCGCGTGAAGGAATTGTCGAAATTATTTTTGTCTTGCAAATGGAATTCCGTGTGTTGAAGCGATGGAAATGTTACATAAGACTTATGATGAATCGATTTCATCAAAAATACGTTCGTGTGAGTAGTACAGTGCATGTGGTGGAAGATTTGCCTCGCTCTGGTTGCCCAACAACATCCGCAACTGAACTCAACATCGCTAAAGTAAATGAAATTACGACTGAAAATCGTCGTTCAGTCTGAGAAAGATCCGCTGAAATTTCGACATCTTAGAATCATTTGGTACTAATTCAAGCAATTGCCGCATTGCCGTTCAACAAGTGCAAAAAGGCCTCAGTTTTCTGCGAACGAGTCTCTCTAGGCGCATTTCGAAAATATGCATAAATCATATAAAGGCTACAGCCGACTAGCAGAGTTGTGTTTCATATATTGGAACTGATCGAGTTTGACATTTAAGTTGGTTGAAGAAATAATATGATTCTAAAATCTCAGAATTTCTGTCAATAAAGTATCGGTAATCGATAAATCGCGTGAAGGTCGCTGACGATTTGTTAGAACCAGTCAATTTCGATCCCATATCCATAAAACGAAATGTAACTTGTGATCAGACATGGGTTAATGAATTTGATATGCAAACCAGTCAACAAGGTTTGGAATGGGGGCTTTCAAATGAGTCGGTACCAAAAAAACTCGTCAAAGTCTATCAATAGTGAGGATAATGTTAACACTTTTTCTCCATTGCCGCGGTGTTGTGCATGATAAACTCTTGACAGAAAGTGAGTAATTGAATAAAGAATATTATCTGTGCGATATGTGTCATTTGAGAGAGCAAGTTTGTCAAGAAATATCAGAAATATGGAAAAAATTTTGCAACACGATAACGCGCCGTCTCACAAGGCTATCAATGTAAACGAATGTCTTGCCAAAAACTCAACAAACCTATTCGCATAGCCACCATGTTGACCTGATATAGCTCCGCTCAAATCATCTCTTCATAGCACCAAAATTTTCAGTCGATAAATGACATTAAAGAGAATTTGCAGAATTCATGTAGTAAATGAAATATTACAGAGGAAGCTCAACTCACGATATTAAAAACTTTTGGAATTGCAACACATATAAGTGATACATTTTCTCTTCTGGAATCTGTTTCTGGAAAATTAGTAACCATGGCATCAAAGAAAACCGTAAGCAGGTAGGTAAGTACGAAATGAGTGTATCTATTCAACCCTATACTACAACCCGTGGAGGTTTATTGTGGCCTATACCTATTCAACTTTGGACAATTACTTGCAGCTTGATTAGACCAATCAGCTCCTTTGAAAAGTGATCTTTCATATCAGATAGTAGAAGTGAAACTCTACCAAATACTGATTTGATTCACGGCGGGGCAAACAAAGACTATGTACTCTGCTGTTTCAATTTTTTTCGAACATAGTCGGCTTGCACTGTCTCTCTACTATCCAAGTCTCTACATGTGATGATTCAGATGACTTCAGCTTGCTGTCTGTAAGACAACTTGGTTCATTCCTGATATAAAATGGTAAGTGTTTGGTATCATACTCCAAAGGATGTGTAGATGCCTTGGAGTCAGCCAATCCTGGTAGATTTCGCCATAAGTTCGAAACTCTTCTTGCAGTCCAGGTAGTCAGTGTTTGTTTGGCAAAGCCTAGATCGATGCCAATTACAGGTTTTGGTGTGATCAAACCATTTGCAACACTCTCCCTTATAAGGGAGTCTTCAACTTCTTGACCTTCCAGGCTACTGAAGCCAGGAATCACATCAGATACAACTTCTCGAGTCTTTCCATTGAGGTAAGTCTTTTTGGATGACAACTGGAATGTTGCTCGGTGATAACCAAGTGCTTTTAAAGCCGCTTGGCTGACCAAGAATATTATTACTGATTCATGTGTGAGATTGGGTTTCTGCCAAACTCACCATACAAAAATTAATGGCATAGTTGAAGTGAATCACCAGGCAGGTTGATTTCCTTGTCCTTGATCTTAGACTATTTACACCTACATGCGTTTCTGATATATCTGTAAAACAATCTGTTTTCAAAATTTCCTTCTCCTAGAGGATTCATTTCTCTTCACTGTTTCCATTTATTTAAGGCATCAACTGATGTTGCCTATACCCTCATCACTCAGAAACAAATGTGTGAGGTTATTGCAAAATTGTGTTGACATACCAGCATTGTCTCAAATGTGGAAAATAATTATTGCCGTTAAGTAATATAATCGTTTTGTTGTTGAATTTTCTGCTTATTGATTAGTTTATTGAGTATAGTAGTTTATATTTATATCAGTGTTATCACAATTGACATCTACCCTCTCAGCTTACATCTTACATCACCACTTCGTAAAATACGCAACACAATACCAGCAATATCAACAGAATCTAACGTGATTTTGGAAATGCTGCAAGTCCAAATAAAATCGTGTGAAGCATATTGGTTGACAGATTTGCATGAGCATCTTACAGTCGACATAAGCATATCACGAATACAATGATTCATCGAAGAATACTCGTTAAGTGAATAAATGTACATTTTCTAGAGGAGACATTTTTTCCTGGTATAACGGAAAATTGCAGGAACTTCTATCCATTCTTGATTCACTTCTTACGAACCTTCTTCATGTATTCCTGTTCTTTTGACCTAAGATTCGCATTCTCAATTGAAATATTCTCGTTAT